GACAGGACACGGTCCTGACACAAAGGTGACAATTTATTGTGCCACTGGAGGGATTAACAGCACCCAGGTGTGGGCTTCTCTGCTGGGCAGAGATCCTGCCCACGTAGCTGAAATAGTTTCATCAGCCAGGCGCAATGGGTGGGATGATTGCTGCATGGAGCTGTAGTGAGTGATTTAAAACAGTACTGTTATTAAAAGCCGTAGTAGGAATTTGGCTGTGACCTAAGGAAAAGAAACCAACTTCAATTCCTCTAGTCAACATCAGTATAAACTCAGGATTCCTGAACTGAAGCCATTGACTAATTCTGGATGTGATTTGCCAGCAAACCTGGAGAGAATTCAGCCATTTGGTTTTATGGGTTGCTGTCCTTGTGTACTACGGAGAGATGCTTCTCATGTTTATTTACACAGCACCACAGATCTGCTGGTGGGCAGAGCCCTGCCTTCCACAGCACTGATCGTGTGCCACAATGGCAGAAACCTCATCACACCACCCTGCCAAGGTGCTCCTCACTGGAGGAAAGCTTAAGGGAGTGTTTGCAACATCATGTGTGGAATTAATAACTTCATGGACCTCTCAGACAAATGGGAACTGAAGAGATGTCCTTGGAATAGTGTGTACAGAGCATGGTAATGGATGCCAAGAGGCACCATTTCTAAAGGATTAAGTATGAGAGAGCTTACATCACAATGGCATGAGGCAAGACGCACCTTGTGTCTCCCAGCTCCAACGCCTGGTCCTTCCTTCCCATCCCCTTCAAACCTGAGGCTCCTTGGCACATTCCCTCAAAGGCATCGCAAGAAGAAATGTAGGAAGAAATAAAGCAGAGGACCTCCTTGGGCAAGCAGTTGTTTCATATGCAGAGTTATTTACTCTACAAATCATCTCAACTATGAGCAGACTTCATAAAACATAATAAACAAGGGATCTGGAGGGGTAGGTGAGCTGCAGCCACGCAAAGGTGGGATGATACAGAGCAGAACTGCAGCAAAACAGCTGTCCACCCAAACCCGTGAGGAGGTCCAGAGAAGTTTCCAATGTGCTTCCCAAGAAGTTGCCCTGTCAAATGAACAACTTGGAGCTGAAGGAGCTGTGACACTTTATGGAGGCGCAGGGCCAGCTGCCATGTGTATTAATAAATGGGTTCACACCAGCTGTCCACACAAATAAAATGTGTCAGACACTACCTACCCAGGCACTTGCCATAACTTAGGGGACATTTTGCAGCAGAGCCATCCAAGCACAGACTGTGTCATGCCAGCAGGAAAACACGTTCCTCTCTCTCTCCTATGAATTATGGAAAAGCTGTGTGTTGGAAAGCTGCCCACACCCAGGCTCCCCTCACACGTGTGCCCAACCCAGGCTCAGTTAAAATCCTGGGATTTTAGGTTGAGGAGTTGCCCGACTCTATGCACCAGGACTGATGGTGCACCAGGGTTGTAGTATTTCTTTC